TTACTCTACAGATTCAATTTCAATTGACATTTTTTATAATATTTCAAAAATGATGTAAACGGAAATATTTATATTTAACAAGAAAAAACAATACACATTATGTTCTATCAACAAACGGTGCACTACCTTGCCAAAGCCTTACACCTACACCTAATACAAAAACACATACGCGACGGTTTTATGTGAAATGGCATACGATACATATGATGATGAATAGCGTTTCACATAATACATTGCACGTCATTTCACAGAGAACTACCACCGCTGTGCATTTGGTTAGTTCTAGGGATTCAGCAAGGATCGTGAATCATACCCTTTGTATTATGCGTAGCTACTATTCTCCATTTTTACCACTAAAGTTCAAACAAAATCAAAAAGAACTAGATTATTTATTTATTAATGTTAAAATATTTTTGTAATACGCATAAGAAATACTGTTGTTAAATATTTTTTTATTACGTTTCTTTCAGAAATATTAGTCAATTTATATAAAAAAGTTTACTTTTACATTGTGCAGTTACAAAATTATTAACATTATTTTTGGAAAATATAACTGTTATTGCAGACATTCATTTTTCTATATTGATTATAAGCATTCCCTATATTTTGAATTTGTAAATAATTATGGTTTGCAATACAGAATTAAGAAATAAAAGTTAACTGTAGATATTTATCGCAACTCACTTCAAAACATTATATAATAATCACGATAACAGGATTAAATAAATTTTAATTTTTGAGAATTAATTTGCAAAGAAATTTAATCAAAATGGTTTTCGTACGTATGTTAAAATCTCGTATTTTTTATATACCCACATACTCTTGCTCTATCTACAGGTATGCAATTATTCACGACGAAACATTACGCGGTACAATTTACTTTTGACCTATATAAATGAAAATTCTACTGATTTGTGAAACAATGGAAAAAATATATTTATTAGTTTTTACGTATTAAATTTGGAATTTTTTATATTATTATTGCATTTTATATTATTATAGCAATCTTAAACATTGAAGTTACTTTTTAATTTTAAAAAATTAATTTTGTGAAACATATAACTGTGTATTATTCATATTTTATATGAATTCTAACTGAAAGATACATTTGACCTTTTGTTTTGTAGTATTAATATCATTATTAAATATTTGATACTGTATTACTCATTAGAAGGTTATATGTAAGGGAAACATATATGATAATTTCTTTATTAAGAAAACTTCTTTTTTAATTAATTTAAATAATATAAAGC